GAAAAGTAGGAACATTTTAATTTAATTTCTCGTTTTGAAGTGTTAATTATATTGTGGTTTATGGTGTATATATAGTTGTTTATAGTTTACATTTTTATTATTTTATCTGAAAACCTAGTGGCAGTGACGGAACATACGAATCAACAAATGTCTTTATTCCCGTAGTGCAGAACACCAGGTGCGCTTTATTTGCCGGGTCAAACCACACCGTTCCTGATTATTATTAATAAAAATGATAATAACAATATATTCTTCATGAATAAAGAATCAACTTTTACGTATACAAAAACCTCATTACATTAATTTTTCATCATTTTGTTGACAAAGCTGCGGGAAAGGCATCATCGTAGCAGCGCTACAAAATGACATTGACTGTAATAAAAGAAAACTGCTCTCCTTCACTTTTTGAGCTTTTTTATGATTAAATAGAACAATTTAATGTATTCATAAACGTGCCGGTGTCTACAGTCTACAACAAAATGTAATATTATCGATGTCATTCCATTGGAAAAGCATTGCCACCAGCCTCGGGTTTATCCCTGAAAAAGAGAAGAAAACGAAGTGTCCTTCCGTCCAGACGTGTAGACGCAACACACGTCCTCGAGGATGTCCTTCCCGCTGGAGCAACGGCGACCTCTGTATCCACACGATGGGTGGATGGTCCACACTGTGAAACTATCACTTTCATTTTGAAAGCCCTGCTCGTGTGAAGTTGTGCGTCACTTAGCCCGCCCTTGGTGCTCGAATCAAGGTCACGTGACCACAATAGATCCATACCCACTTCTCAGGAAAAGGAAACACATTTCACATTTGTTGTTTTGTGTTCGATTTTCTAGGCGATTCTTGTTTGCACGTTTGCATCACCGTACGACGTAATGCAAAGAAACTTGCTGTTACGTCATAGCACCGTAAACTCTTTGTAACTGCTGAAGTTGCTTTCTTGAACGTGGTCTATTCAAGGCGGAAGACGCTGCACGCTGGAATACAATTGTTCTCTGCTTTTAAAAAAAAAAAAAAACTACAAACGGTTTGGATATTTACGCAAAAATGTTACGGTTATTTAAGTTTTTTATTCTTCCAAACACCGGAGAACCGTTGATAACACTTCCCACCGCTGACTCTGGTTTGTTGTTGATGAAGGTGAGATTCACAGCACACGGTGCTTCACTGGAACAGTTGCTGCTACATAAAGGGTGTGCCGTGTGTTCATGTGTTATTAAGTAGCATAGCATTATAGCATCTGTCTTCATCTGTCTGCATGGGCAAGAACACGAAGAAAGTAAAAAAGGTGTCGGGTTTTTTTTCTTCTGTCCACTGTTACATTGTAACATGTTGCTCGGTTTACACTAGACCTGTGGTTCCCAAAGTGTGTTGAGGGGGGTCGCCCTCTAGAGGGCAAGGGAGAGAGCAGCGACGGAGCGAATGAATTATAATGTCGTTATTTTTCTTGGTTTGTTCCACGCTGGAGGAATTTTGAGTGATTTGTAATTTTAGTTAAATTGATTCAATGAGTGACAATTTTGTAGGAAATACAATCTAATCTGACCTGTCAATATTTGTATCTACAGTTTGGTTACTTTATATTTAATGATGATATTAAAAAAAGATGATGACTGGATCGAAGGACACAAGTTAAGATAAGATATGACATTGTTGATCTAACAGTGGGGGAATTCAGTGCCTGGCTGGTTATGACTCGGTGTTTAAATTCCATCCCTTTTCTTTCTCTCTCTTGTCTTTTTCTTATTATACTTTTCTTTTCTTTTTTTGTTAGCAGAGTTTGACTTTTTGTCGCCTTTCTTCATAGCAGTTTTCTTAAATTGTTTAACCGTAACCTACATATTAAAACAACTATTGTTACTTGTTTGGTGAGTAATATTGCAGCAATATCTCTGAGTTTGTGCAAGTGAACAAATAATGTAAAGGCCAGAGGATGTCATTATAAGTTGTGTTGTTGTTTTAATCCTCTCTAATGTGCTGTAGTCCTTTGTGTGCTTGTGTCCTAGTCCTTGTCCTTTTTGTACGACACAGTGAGTCCATCCAGTGGCTCAATATCAGGCACTAATATTTGAGGCCAGATGTAAGAGGACATTGTCACATCAAGAAAGAAATACTGAATTATTAATCGCCTTTTGCCCTGGGATTATGTTCCGTTCTGAAGAGGACAGTATTTCACCCGGCTGTCCTTGTACAAAAGCCATGAGTATAATGGTAAAATATACAGCATCGCTACCAATCAAATTTATCACTTTAATTTTACCAACTTTATATTTATCTTTCTTTTCTTTTATAATCCTCCCATGCTCAGGTGATGAATTTTATTAGTTCTTTTAGTAGTTTTTTTTTTCTGCACTTCTGGCTCACAAGCAGCAAGTCTCGTGGTTGTTCTGTCGGAAATGATCCATTAATTAAACCGCACTTCCTCCTCCTCCTCCTCCTCTTTCTGGTGTTCCACTTTATTTCACTGTGACTTTATTCTGCTCATTATTTTTCTCATGACTTTGTCCTGTTGTTTGTGTTTCAGGTGCTGTGTGCAGCTGGCCTGCCCTGACGTTCTCCCAGGGTAAGCTGTTTTTTTCTTCGTAGAGGACGTACAAGCTGACGGAAGCTGCACAGGCAGCTGCACTGGCCCCCTCCCATTCAACCCCTGCGATATGAGCAGAGGTAGAGGAGGGCCTTCAAAGGAACCCTACCACAGGTACCCTCAACCTAACATCCAGGCCAAGGAGACTTACAGGCCTGCTCCGACCTCACACTTTGCTCGAGGTGGCCTACAGCAGTTCCCATATTTAAGTTGCTACAACAGCCTGGTCCCTCCTGTAGGATACTCCTCGCACCCAGCTTCCCCTGGTGTCCCCGCCGCCCCGCCTGTTCTCAACCACAATAGACCCGATTCCAAATCTGTGGGTTTCAACAATTCAGATCAGAGTCCCCGTCCCAGTCCTGTGTCTAATTCTTTTCAGGTCCAACAGGCAGAGTTTCTGCGGGGACACTTGTCTGATGCCCCGAATTTCAGAACAGGTCTGAGAGGAGGAAGAGGGGCGAGTGTCCCCAGCAGGTCCCCCAGTTCTTCATATCAGTCCCAGTCAAGATACACCAGATATCCAAACTCCAACACCGGCTCCAGGAATAGATGTGGCTTCAGTCAAGATCAGCGTACTGCTTTCTCCCCCAGTGGTGAACCTCCACGAGGCACTCAAGTCCACGGTCACCGGGACGTGAACCATTTACATGGTCAAAGCAACAGGCAGTACTCCAAAAGGCCGAGGCTCACACAAGGTAACTCTTTGTGTGACAGTTTTCACAGTTTGACCCTGAGTCAGAACAGGCTCAACAAAGAAGAAACAAGAGCTGGGAGACAATCCAGCAGATCATCTTTTTCAGGCGCAAAGAAGGTTACCATCATCCTAACACCAGCCCACCAGGAGGAGGTGCACAGAGCATTGGCTGCTTTGGAACCAGGTGAGAGCATCTCTGCAAAGGCTTTGGCCAAAAAGCTGCGTCTTCCCAAAAAGATAGTCAACAAGGCACTCTACGCCTTAGAACGCTCAGCAAAAGCCTCTAAACAAGGAATCCTCCCCCCTGAATGGACAGTCTACAGGGAACCTGTTGGATGTCCAGCCAACTCTGAAGTGAGAAGTCCAGAATCACATCAGGAAGTCGCTGGAAATTCCAAGGCTGAGGTTAAAGTTACAACAGGGGAGAATAACGGCACAGAGCAGGTCAAAGACGAGGACTCTGACACAGATTCCACTTCTTCCTACTGCTCTTCTTCGTCGGTGGAATTCAAAGTGTTCCAGTCTCTTGCACAAGGTCACGGTCAAGAGAGGAAACCTCCCTGCACGGCTGTCTTCACCAGGCAGACGCCACAGCCTTCCACGATGTCGGACCAAAAGGAACAGATTTTGCATTTCCTCTGCGGTTCAGGGGAGGCCACTGCGCTCGTCATAGCCAAGAATCTGGGGCTTAAAAATGCCAAGCACGTCAATCCGACGTTGTACGCTCTGGAAAAGCAAGGTCAAGTCAGTAAGAACCACGATGTCACGCCGCACACGTGGGAGCTCTCCACTCACTGCAGAGAAAGAATGGAGAGGAGCCTCAAAGCAGCGCAGGCCAACCAGGCTGACATGTGTCGGATGGATGTGGCGGTTTCACGAGAGACGCCACAGTCTTCACCGCTAACACTCATGACGGATTCTGAATTGAACACCTTTCCGCTGAATTGGAAGCCAAAGCCAAGTCACAGCAAAGCAGCAGGGGAAGTAAGTCGTGTAAATGTAGCCAGTAGGCCTGTCAATCTGATGACTCATCACCAATATGACAATGTTGTTACATTCTTATAATCAGGTTGTTAAAATATAGGACATTATATTTGGAATTGCTAGAGAAGAAATAAAAGTATTCATCGACAGCAATTTAATGAAGAATTGCTTTCAGAAACTTCAGTGAAGTCGTTGTCCTCGACAACATTAGTCAGTTCAGTTTACAGTCCTGAACATTTTGACAATTGTCCGTCAGCTGATCAGTTGAAGACATCGTAGAGTAATTAATCTAATTACTTTCATAAATAAATGAACTTGGATAGTGTGTTATTTTTGACAGCCATTTCCTGATTCTATTTTTCTAAATTTCGAGGATGTTGTCTTTCACTAAAGGAGACCTAGAATGATTGGACTAACAATTCTTCCCTGTTTCCTTCTCAATCCCAGGGAGATTCCTCCTCCCAGTTCAGGTCACAACACGTCAAAGGCAACGACACAGAGTGGGCCTCTGATAATATTCCTCTGTACCTCAACACCATTCGCAGAGAGACCGAGGCCGTGAAACAGGCAGCACAGAATGCCAACTCTGTGGGAACAGTCGCCGTGTCGGTGGCCGCACCGCCGCCGCAGAACCTGCGGGCCAAGTTAGAGGAAGTGAGGCTGAAGAACCCGGTCAGTGGCCTCATGGAGTACGCCCAATTTCTGGGCCAGAACTGTGAGTTTCAGCTGCTCGACCAGTCAGGACCGGCCCATGACCCAAGGTTGGTTTTACAGTTATTAAGAATTCAGGAAACACAAGATGATGTGTATATATTTAAATTCTTTTTTTTGTTGTTGTTCTAAAGTGAATTGAACTTCATGTACTACAAAAGTACTTGATGCTACTCTTGCTCTGTGTGTGTTTTGTCAGATTCCGTATGCAGGTAATGCTGAACGGCCAGCTGTTTCCCGTCGTCGAGGCGTCCAGTAAGAAAGTCGCGAAAAAGGACGCTGCTGCCGCCACGCTACGTTTCCTCATTGCGGAGATGCAGGGTGAAACCATGTCTGGGGAAGATGGAAACGGTGACAGTGGTGACAAATTCATAGTTCCAGTTCCAGAAGTCAGTGTAAGTTCAGAGAATGTGAAGATTTTTTTTGTTTGTTTTAATGCTGTTGACCATTAATTAGCCTGAGAAGTGGGACGATACATACAGTTTATATACATACATACAACTAACTGGGTTCTTTTTGATTTTTATTCTGTTTTTTTTTTTTTCTGCCTACCAGGGGGG